CACCCACTCCAGGCTTTGGTTGAAACCGCCGCCAAAAGTCAAGCTTTGAAGACTCGATGGCCAGGTCACCAACTCCAGGTTTTCGTTGAAATTCCAGCCAAAACTCAAGTTTTGAAGACTCGATGGCAAAGTCACCCTCTCCAGGCTTTGGTTGAAATCATTGCCAAAGCTCAAGCTTTGAAGACTCCATGGCAAGGTCACCCTCTCCAGGCTTTGGTTAAAATCATTGCCAAAACTCAAGCTTCGAAGACTCGATGGCAAGGTCACCCGCTCCAGGCTTCGGTTGAACCAGCCCCCAAAACTCAAGCTTTGAAGGCTCGATGGCAAGGTCACTTTCTCCAGGCTTTGGTTAAACTTCTCGCCACAACTCAAGCTTTGCAGGCTCGATGGCAAGGCCACCCGCTCCAGGCTTTGTTTGAAATCCCCGCCACAACTCAAGCTTTGAAGGCTCGATGGCAAGATCACCCGCTCCAGTCTTGGGTTGAAATCCCCACCACAACTCAAGCTTTGGAGGCTCGATGGCAAGGTCACCCACTCCAGTCTTTGGTTCAACCAGCCGCCAAGTCTCAAGCTTTGAAGACTCGATGGCAAGGTCACCCGATCCAGGCTTTGGCGAAAACCAGGGCCAAAACTCAAGCTTTGAAGGCTCGATGGCAAGGTCACCCGCTCCAGGCTTTGGTTGAAACCGCCGCCACAACTCAAGCTTTGAAGGCTCGATGGCAAGGTCACCCGCTCCAGGCTTTGGTTAAAATTCTCGCCAAAACTCAAACTTTGAAGGCTCGATGGCAAGGTCACCTGCTCCAGGCTTTGGTTGAATTTCCAGCCAAAACTCAAGCTTTGAAGACTTGATGGCAAGGTCACCCGCTCCAGGCTCTGGTTGAAATCAGTGCCAAAACTCAAGCTTTGCAGGCTCGATGGCAAGGTCGCCCTCTCCAGGCTTTGGTTGAAATCATGGCCAAAACTCAAGCTTTGAAGACTCCATGGCAAGGTCACCCTCTCCAGGCTTTGGTTGAAGCACCTGCCAAAACTCAAGCTTTGAAGGCTCGATGGCAAGTTCACCTGCTCCAGGCTGTGGTCGAAAGTGAAGCCAAAACTCAAGCTTTGAAGGCTCGATGGCAAGGTCAACCCGTCCAGGCTGTGGTTGAAATTATGGCCAAAACTCACGTTTTGAAGACTCGATGGCAAGGTCACCCTCTCCAGGCTTTGGTTGAAATCGTGGCCAAAACTCAAGCTTTGAAGACTCGATGGCAACGTCACCTGCTCCAGGCTTTGGTTGAAATTCCGGCCAAGAGTCAATCTTGCAAGGCTGCGGGGGAGATTACGTAAATACTCTCCACTCGCTGCTCCCTCAAGTTGCGTAACACCTTCCAGCTCAACCTCTCTCTCACAAGTTGGGAGCCCACAAACATAACACCATGCAGTGTACACTTTTGTTGGTATGTAAGTGCAGGACAGGATTGCCGATTTTCCAACGACTCCTTGCTCTCCCAAGGTTTCATTCAGCTTCAGTTTTGCATTCACATGATGCACGGCGAGCTTTGCGCCTGGCTTGCATGGAAGTTTCTCCAACACCAATCTGCGCAGGTCATATCCAAGCATGGAGCGGGAGACGCTTAATGTCACTCCTTCTCCAGTCAAGCACAGCAGCTGAAGATCGACCTCATCATTTTCATCTGCTGCACCTTTGTCAGCAGATGTTTGATTCAGATAGCCATGTTGTGCACCGGACATCGACAGAAATTCATACTCGTTACAGCCCTAAGCCGAAAGATCTTCGCAAAAACCAACGGATACAACTCTCAAATGCAACATGGACCCGTCTTTTTGGCCACTTCCAAGTGCACCATCTCCAAGTGGGCTCAGTGTCAGTTTTCGGGGCTGCTGCAATCCATTTCAGCCCTACCTTGTTCATGACACGTTGTGAAGTTTGATAGTTGGGTATGTATGGGTTTGTCAGTTTGACTCACACGTTGCCATGATGCAGAGAATCTCAGTCGTTCTATGGGGATGTATGTCTCTAAATCAGGCAAGTCTGATCAAAAGTTTGAGGAACATTTTTGGCTATCCGCATCTCAATAAAAAACCAAGTCCACTAGGTCCCCTATCTATTTTCTTCATGGCTAGCTCCCCATTTGGGCAGGCAAATCGCTTTCCCTTTGAATCCCTTTGACATGTTTCCGGCTGCCCGAAGTCTGGCAAGAATTGAACGGCCAACAGACAGGGAACGGCAGAAGCATCCCGTGGGCAGGGAAATCAACATTCGAGAGATTTGGCGGTCATCTGTAGGTGGCTTTCAACCCAAAATAGCTTGGAAATCGATGCTGCATCCGCCCAAAATTGTGTCAACAAGTACACATCACCACTTGGGAGATCAAGTATGGAAGATTCAAGCCACAAGATAGAAGTGAAAACCACATCAACTAATTGGGGATCAGAGTGAAAAAGTCCAATTGGCACCGGCTTTTCAGGGACTATGTGACCATGTTGTTGCTCCACAAACATCACGTCGTCACCAAGAACTCCATGGCTAGCCACATAGCAACAGCGCTCCCCACGAAGCCCAAGGCCCCCCATTTCACCAGCAGTGCTCCTGTTCTTTTGAAGAGGGGTGTCACCAAGCAACTAACTTTGGGTTTCGGCATCGGCATTCATGTTTGATGTTGCCACCTGTTCGTATTTCACTATTTCGCCATCCAATTCAGCGCTTCAAATCCAGAGTTTGCCGGTGCACCCCCCCCATTTTTGGTTACATCTACCCTCTGGTAATATAGCATGGCACTGGAAATTATTCTTTCTACATGATTTTCCCATCTAACCTATTTTCATGTAGGATTTCCCAGCTCGTTGGCCAGAGAGCAATTCCAGAAAAATCACCCTAGTCACTATTATCAACCACAATTAACCATTACGATTCATTTATAAGCATCATTAGTTACCATTATTAAACCACTACTCATGACTATTAGTCACTATGAACATCTATGAACTATGATTTTCCCCTTGCCATGTTTTCCATTGCCGGGTAGGTTTGCTGTCGTTGCCACCGCCCCACCTTGCTACGCTCCAAGCCACTGTGCGGAACCGCCATTGGTGATCCTCCGGCCCCCAGAAGTCCGACAGTGGGATAAACCGCAATGGGCATGTAATAGGATGACCTTAATTAAAGTGTCCACCAAACAAGAAGGGGGAACATATGTGTATATATATACGTATGTACATATACAGATATACATATATATATATGATTATATATGCACGTATAAATATGTTTGTATATTTATATACATATAAGTGTACGTACATATATATATATATATGTGTATATATATATATATATATACGCATGTGTATGTGTATATATATATACACACGTATGTGGTAGTGTGAAATGGGAAGAGGACAATTTTTTGACCGCCCAAGTGCTTCCAGCCTCATCCCCCTTTTGTAAAGGCTGTTGTGATAAGATTTGCGCGTCCTATCTATATTTTTGCTGATGTATCCCCGTTCTTGCATCCATGGTTGTTTCACTTTAGGAGAGCTCAATATGATTGGGGGATGGAATCAATGCTTAAACATCGATTTTTAATGCACACGGGAACCTCTAATATTTGTGCCGTTCAACCTGCATGCTTCGTCGGTCAGCTATTTTGGGGATGGGATCCTGAATCATGTGCACCGCAACTGTCCAATATCCAATGTTGGCATTGCCCATAAAATAATGGTAATAAGACGTAATAATAAGAAGAAGTAGAAGAAGAATATAAAAACACACACATACACAATAATAATAATAATAACAATCATCATCATCGTCGTCGTCGTCGTCATCATCATCATCAACATCATCATCCTAGTAATGTGGTGGAACCCATCATAAATCATCCCCAATATTACCATAAACGGGTGGTTTGTTCATCACCTGCAAATGATAGGTTCATTATTGGGCTTACCGCATTACACTTGTCCATTGTGGAGCTGTTGACTAGCCATATTCCCCTACAAGTATTAAACCATAACATTCGAAGAATCCCATAACCAGCCATTGGACAAATAGATCCATTGCTGCTAGAAATTCCATGAAATTCCCATCATCTCCCCATTTTGACACCTTGGCAACGTCGCAAAAACCGCCCTTTCTTGGCTGAGCCAACAGCGCAGAGTTTGAGAAGGTGAGGGGCATGGGAAGTATCTATAGATTTCCCAAGAATGGGGTTTGGACCTTCGAAAAGACATCGGCAACGAAAAAAAACATGTGAATAGTCGACAAAGTATGCAGAACATATGATCAGAAATAAACATGTGACCATCAGAAATACGGATTGATCTTAATTGAGATTGAATGATCAAACATGATAATTCTAGAAAAGAATCTCAGGTGGATTCAACCGAACCACCAAAAAAGAAAGCAGAAAACGTAGCGATAGTCGCTGAAGAATCATGTTCCTCAGGTGAAGATGGAAAAATGAAACCACTCGATGATCGGTCTGAAATGTGGGGAACCCCCAAAGTCGGCGGTTTATCATCATTTTCCCCATCAAAAATGCAAGTAGCCGGGGTTTTGAGGAGGCTCGCCCGAAAGGGAGTGCCCTGCTGTCATACCCAAACCGAATTACTTGATACTGCCTATTGGATTGTGTCACTATCCCCATTACTCCAACCATGAATCACCGCCAGGATGATTCCTGACATAGCCTGAAGACATCAAAAAAAGCAGAGGGCCGTAATTAGGCGCTAGGGAACTAGTCAAAAAAAAAAACAAAAAATGAATGTGTCCATATGAAATTTGCCGAGATCCGTGGGTTTAGGGATCTCATCATGGAACTTTACGGCTACCCCCCAAAAGTCACCCCTCGCCACGGCCCAGGAGACCTCAGAGTCTGTTCATTTTAGTATTAACCATCCAATTTTTTTGGGTATCTAATTTTGACCCATACCCATCCATACCCATCTTAGTTTTTGACCTTCAGACTTTCACCACTTCTTCCGCAACGGAAACGTCTTTTTCGAACACCTCCGCAGCTCCTTTTTTTCCCACTCTCAGTACGCAGCCTGACAGTGACAGAACCTGCTTAGTGGGATGAACCACTATCCGAATGAAGTACTAACGATTCGAATGTATATATGACCAAAAAGCTAGGGGATGTAAGTTGATACAACCAGAAAATCATGGATTTCTGTGGTCAGAATCGGTGCGTGAAAATGTTGGGAAGAAGATGCTCCAAACATCATTCCAATCGAATTTGTAGCAATGGCAACAACTTTTTAGTCAAGTAAATTGGGTGACAATGTGATTGCCCCCTCTGCAGTGAGTGGCGTGAGCAGGTCATTCTGCCGCTGGACCCCATTGTTCCGAATCCATCGAGCCTTGCCAGTCCCCAACTTCTTGACTCATGCTCTAATCAGCCAAAATTGTCAGTACTTAATTATTATGCAATCTCTAAAAACCTAAGTATCCACTAATCATTCGCCCCATTCTGCTGGTGGAAAATCCCAAAAAAATCACACTGAATTTGAGAAGAACGGGGATTTCGCTCTGAAAGGCCCGATCTTTGGAAGAGGGATGGAAGAAGATAGCCTTCAGCTGTCAACCGTGGCGAAATGCCCCATAAATGGATCATCTATAAATGGAGAAAAATCATGAAAATTCTGCAAGGCATGTTTAATTGATAGGTAGCTTGGAACCCAAGCATCAACCACTGGAATGATCCTCGCCTTCTGGGACTGGCTCAGCCAGTCGGACCACTCCTGCGGATGTTTTTCGGTGCTGATACCAGTAGATTCCAGCTGTCTCAGTTGTATATTAGCGGGAAACATATATAATAATGTATATATTATATATGGCTCAGCCCTGCAACCCCCCCTCCCCCCCGTCATGGTCATGGTCCTGTATGTACGCTGTCGGATATAGTTGACATGTCGCTAGCATATAGATGATCGATGTAGGGTCTACTTTACCCCCGCCCCCCCACCCTACAGAGGGTGGGGGCTAGGTAGCGTGTCAGTGGCACAACTAGTGTGTAAGGCAGTAAGTAGGTCGTGTGTGGCCAGCATGTTACTGATCCATCTAGGGTCTACTCTGTACCCCCCCGTGGGATGGGTGGGGTGTTGTAGAGGTATCATGTAGATAGTGTATAGGTAGTATGTGGCTAGCACGTATGTATATATAGCACATGAGATCTTGATAGCATATGGTTTCCATAAAGGTACTTCATGGGCAGTAATACGTTGTAAATAGAGTGATGAAAGGTGTAGCTTACCCCCCCGGTACCCTGTGGGATGGGTGGGTGTTATAGAGGTATCATGTAGATCGTGTATAGGTACTACGTGGCAAGCACGTATGTATAGCACATGAGATCTTGATAGTAGCTAGTATATTGCTATTATAAAGGTACTTTATTGGCAGTAATACGATGTAAATAGATGGTATGGGCATATTATAGGCAGCAGTGAACACTGCATGGAGGTATCCTGTTATGTAATGCATAGGTGGCACGAGGCCAGCCACCCCCATGGAGGTGGTTGCTGTGGGTTTGTGCAAAAATGAACATAACCCGAATTCCAATGGATTTCCGGAGGAAAAAACACATCTTTCCCATTTAAAACAACCAGAACTGGGGGCACCCATCTGGATGGCCATGGGTCAACCCCTGGGACCCTCACATCAGAATCGCTCGTATCTCTGGTGCCGGATGTTTCTTCCCCATCAAGATGGAAGAAAGCTTGCCCTCTGGTAATTTAACATAGCTATTGAAAATGGCCATTTATAGTGGATTTTCCAATAAAAAAGTGGATTTTCCATAGCTATGTTAAATTACCAGAGGGTAAAACACATCCCCATTTCTACCTGGAGGTGTCCTAATGCGGGTACCCCAGTGACTTGGGATGTCGCCTTGATCTCCAGCGGAGCAAAGCGGTCCAGGGCTCGGTTTCTTGGGGATCTCATTTAAGTGGCTTACAACTATCCCTATTTACATATATATATATATATATATATATTATATATATGTATATACATATGCATATGTATTATATACATTTATATTATATATGCCTTAAAAATCTCGGACATGGGGTACACCCACCTTTCCATGTCGCCAAAGAATGGGAACATGCTGGTGAATCACTGGGCCTGGAAAGGCGACTTGCAGTGGTTGGTGGGTTTCCACAGATCCGGCGTGAGGTAGCCATAGGTGGCCTCGGCCCGTCGCTGACGCGTGAAAAACTGCTTGGGTCACACGTAGCACAAGACGTGACCCGGTTAAGGATATTTGTTGTGCATGAAATTCTGAGGATATTTTCTGAATGGATTATAATGTGCACCTCTTTTGGAATTTCATATCACGCCGAAATTTAAGGATATAATATAAACGTACCCTCTGGCAAGACTTGCGACAATCACCAGTTTTCATGGGTAAATCAGTAAATCACCATTTTCCATAGCTACGTTAGTTCAATAGGATTCATGGGAATATGTTAGGATATGAATCAAACGCCTGGTACCCGGATGGCACCCTAAGTCATAGCTGGTGAATGTTGTTTTCAAATGATTCATCCAATTGTTTGAGGTAGGAATAGGTTTTGACCCATTCCCATATAGTAGGTATATTTTTTGGATGTTTAAATCACCTTTTTTTGGCGGGTTAAGTCACCATTTTTGCTGCCTAAACCCTGCATCTCTGGCCGTCCCGCCTTCAGTGCTTCGAAGGTGGCCTTGGCGAAGTTGGCCGTGGTCCTGGGGCGATTTGCAAAAAGGTCTCACCGAAGGCCGTTCCGTGACTTTTTTTGGCGTGGAATGGTGGTGATTCCCCTCCAGTTCCATAGTGATTCATAGTGATTCATAGTGATTCATAGTGATTAATAGTAATTAATAGTGATTAATAGTGATTCATAGTGATTCATAGTGATTCATCGTGATTAATAGTGATTAATAGTGATTAATAGTGATTAATAGTGATTAATACTGATGAAACTAGTGATTAATAGTGATTAATAATGATTAATAGTGATGAAACTAGTGATTAATAGTGGTTAATAGTGATTAATAGTGATTAATAGTGATTAATAGTGATTAATAATGATTAATAGTGATGAAACTAGTGATTAATTGTGATTAATAGTGATTAATAGTGATTAATAGTGATTAATAGTGATGAAACTAGTGATTAATAGTGATTAATAGTGATTAATAGTGATGAAACTAGTGATTAATACTGATGAAACTAGTGATTAATAGTGATTAATAGTGATTAATAGTGATTAATAATGATTAATAGTGATGAAACTAGTGATTAATTGTGATTAATAGTGATTAATAGTGATTAATAGTGATTAATACTTATGAAACTAGTGATTAATTGTGATTAATAATGATTAATAGTGATGAAACTAGTGATTATTTGTGATTAATAGTGATTAATAGTGATTAATAGTGATTAATAGTGATTAATAGTGATGCATAGTGCTTCATAGTGATTCATCGTGATTAATAGTGATTAATTGTGATTCACAGTGATTAATAGTGATTCATAGTGATTCATAGTAATGAAACTAGTGATTAATAGTGATTAATAGTGATTAATTGTGATTAATAGTGATTAATTGTGATTAATTGTGATTAATTGTGATGAATCTAGGAACACGGTCTTTATCTGGCCGTGGTGTTTTTGTGATCAACGGGGTGTCATGGATGATGTTTGATGTGGTCGTGCCAATAGGATTTTGGTTGATGTGATTTCAAAGGCAAAAAACCCGTGATTCTGGTGCATAAAATCAAAATCTAGCGTTTCGCCTAGGCGAAACTATCATTTTTGATGTTTCTCAGAACTCCCCAACTAATTCGAGCTGTATTGTTTTGATGTGAGTTCAAAGACAAGAAACCCCTTATTCTGGTGCAGGAAATGAAAAAACAAGTGTTTCGCCTAGGCGAAAACGCATTTTTTTGTAATTCCACATGTATTGATGAAGTTGGCACAGCCTGCCAGACGACCTTGCAACCGACCTGGATTTCAACATGTTATGTATTGATGAATGTGGCACAACCTGCCAGACGACCTTGCAACGGACCTTCACTTGCATCGAACAGCTAACTATAACCAAAGACAGGCATTCATACAAGTAAATGATGTTGAAACCAAAGAAACTGATCGCACTTCCAGCGGACATTTTCTGATTGGTTTTTTTCTCACAGCAACTGTTCGAGTTCTTCCAGGAACCTTTGGGGATCTGGATTGTCCAGGGTGGAGCGCCAGCACCACATGAACACATATTGCGTTACTGACGGGTGCATCGTTGAATGCCCACGGTCTTTGTGTTTCAAGACCATGTGAGCAGGAAGGAATTCTTTCAAAGTCCTCCAAGACCGGTCCAACGTCTGAGTGCCGGCTATATTGGAGACACCGCGAAACATCTTTGGTGCTGGCGCAGTGAAATTCTTGACCTGGTGAACCACAGCCTGTACAGGAATACCACGTTTCTCTGCGGCAAACTTCCATGCTCGATTTCCATCAGGGCAAATGATGCTGGAACCGGCGATCCTGTCGAGGAATCCACTTTTCTCCACTTGATCTGAGTTCTCCGTGATTGGTCGTTCTGCAGGAGGCGTCACCTGTCAAGGTATGTGTTCACAAGTCATGCAAGAAAGGATTCAAAACAGAGACCGTTGCAACCGAACGATCAGATAGTACAGGAGAAAAGGGACCGTGCTGATTCCAAGGATTAAAAATCACAAGTATTTGAAAAGTAATGGATAGAACCAAATATCAAAAAAGACCAGTGGCATGCGGTCGTGGGATGAAGAGAGCAGGAGCAGAGTTACGAGGCTGAGCTCCCAGAACCATGATGTGTGCTAAGTACGACTTGGGTCTTGGCTTCTCTTGTTTCATCAAAGTTTTCTCAATTTTTTGAATTTGGTCTGCGTGCCACAAGTTATCAGCAGCAATGTAATACTTGCCGATAAAAGTTGCGTCTACTTCCACGGCTCCTCGAAGACGACAGGTGCGACTGAATTGCTCACCAGCTTGACTTTCCAAAGTGCGGAGACAGCTCAAAAAGTTTTCCACACAGTGTCGTGACCGTGAAGCGGCCTGAAACAGAAGAACTCAACAAGCAAATCTACATGCACATAGAAACCGAAACAGTAATTTTGACCAAAGGCAATGAGAAGAGACCCTGCACTGGCACAAAAATCTACATTTGTAGTATCATTGTCTCAGATCAAGTTCAGTGAAACAGCGTGGCAGCGTGGCATGATGTATGTCTGCAAGCAAGTGCAAAGAGTAGAAGTATTTCATACAGACTCAGCGCACCTGCACGAAGTCAGGGACGGAAGGGCTCTTCGTCAGGTCACAGGTCACATACTGGCGTAGCATCTGCGTCAGTTCCAACGCAGACACCCGAAGTCCATGAAAGATGCTTCCGTAGAACACGATGAAGCGATGACTGCACGACTTGCATCTCCAGTGGGCACGCCTGCTGGCATTCCAGATGAGGTCAGTGAAGGACCTGCAGTCACACTGGAACGTTACCACATGCCCCACCCCACCCCACCCCACCCCACCCATGTCTACACGCACATAACGGCACACACAGAGACGAGTCCACTTACCTAGCAAGTTCACATGAACGTTAACACATGCCCCACCCCACCCCACACCACCCCACCCCACCCCACCCCCCCAATGTGCACGAAAACGCACGGCCAGATAAAGGCCGTGCTCCAACTAGTGATTAATAGTGATTAAAATTGATTAATAGTGATTAATAGTGATTAATATGATAATAGTGATTAATAGTGATTTAGTGATTAGTGATTAATAATGATTAATAGTGATTAACTAGTGATTAATAGTGATTAATAGTGATTAATTGTGATTAATTTGATTAATGGGATTAATAGTGATTAATAGTGATAATAGTGATTAATAGTGATTAATAGTGATTAATAGTAATAGTGATTAATAGTGATTAATAGTGATTAATAGTGATTAATAGTGATTAATAGTGATTAATAGTGAATAATAGTGTGATTAATTAGTGATTAATAGTGATTAATAGTGATTAATAGTGATTAATAGTGATTAATAGTGATTAATAGTGATTAATAGTGATTAATAGTGATTAATAGTGATTAATAATAAGTGATTAATAGTGTGATTAATAGTGATTAATAGTGATTAATAGTGATTAATAGTGATAGTGATTCATAGTGATTCATCGTTAATAGTGATTAATAGTGATTAATAGTGATTAATAGTGATTAATAGTGATTAGTGATTAATTGTGATTAATAGTGATAATAGTGATTAATAGTGATTAATAGTGATTAATAGTGATTAATAGTGATTAATAGTGATTAATAGTGATTAATAGTGATTAATAGTGATTAATAGTGATTAATAGTGATTAATAGTGATTAATAGTGATTAATAGTGATTAGTGATAATAGTGATTAATAGTGATTAATAGTGATTAATTGTGATTAATAGTGATTAATAGTGATTAATAGTGATTAATAGTGATTAATAGTGATTAATAGTGATTAATAGTGATTAATAGTGATTAATAGTGATTAATAGTGATTAATAGTGATTAATAGTGATTAATAGTGATTAATAGTGATTAATTGTGATTAATTGTGGTTAATAGTGATTAATAGTGATTAATAGAGATTAATAGTGATTAATAGTGATTAATAGTGATTAATAGTGATTAATAGTGAATAATTGTGATTCATAGTGATTCACAGTGATTAATTGTGATTAATTGTGATTAATAGTGATTAATAGTGATTAATTGTGATTAATAGTGGTTAATAGTGATTAATAATGATTAATTGTGATTAATAGTGATTAATAGTGATTAATAGTGATTCATAGTGATTCACAGTGATTAATAGTGATTCATAGTGATTAATAGTGATTAATTGTGATTAATAGTGATTAATAGTGATTAATAGTGATTAATAGTGATTAATAGTGATTCATAGTGATTAATAGTGATTAATTGTGATTAATTGTGATTCATAGTGATTCATTGTGATTAATTGTGATTAATTGTGATTCATAGTGATTCATAGTGATTCATAGTGATTAATTGTGATTAATTGTGATTCATAGTGATTAATTGTGATTAATAGTGATTAATACATATTAATAGTGATGAAACTAGTGATTAATTAATTGTGAATGTTAATACTGATGAAACTAGTGATTCATAGTGAATGGCTAATTCCATTACACACTTTTATGGAATGGAATGTGAATGTTAGGAATTATGGAATCACACTTTTATGGAATGTGAACGGAAATTATGGAATTACGATCTATAATTCGGATTAAGGAGACTACACACTTTTATGAAATGGAATGTGAATGTCCTATCATTATCATTCATATTCCGTCACATTTATGGCATGTTAATGGGATATGAATGGAATATTACAGAAATAGGTAATTATATTTCACATTATTTAACCAACAATGGTATGTTAATGGGATAGTTAACCAACAATGGCGTATGAATGATCGGTTAATGGTATATTTAACCAATATTAAGGGGATGTTAAGGAGTGCAGGTTCATAGGATATGCATGGGATATAAAAGGGATATATGAATGGGATATAAGTGGAATTAATGTACGGAAAATAAACGAAGGTGTGTGATTTAATCATGAACAAATGGAATATGAATGGAATGTTGATGAAATATTAATGGTACCCTCTGGTTATTGAACAGACAGTTTGCTATGGACAATGGCCCATAGAACTAGATTGTAAAAATGATAATTTAGCCCTTAAAAATAGTGATTTTCATAATTTATTAATGGTATACTGTATCTAGCCAACGATGGGATACTAATGGCATATTTAAGCAATATTAAGGGTACATTTAAGGAGTATAACCGACAATATGATATGTGATACTGCGTTTGCAACTCATCAACTCATCAACCATCTTATTGGGACTTTTTCATTGGGAGAATGGGTATTTGACCAAGCAAAATGGATGAAAACTAGCTCCGTAAGGATATAATGAGGATAAAATTACAGATATATATATATATATAGGGAATATCACATGGGAGAAAGTTCACCAACTTAAGATTTGCCATGGTCAAAAGTTGATTTAAAAACATCAATGCTTGGATTTAATGGTACTGTATATATTGTTGGACTGTTGGGATTGTTCGGAAATTTGTCAACAAATATAGCGGTATATAATCAATCATAATGATGGTATAGCAGGGATGTGATGGGATATCATTGGATTTACTCATGGGATATGACCCAAATAAAATATAACGCTAATAAACCCGGACCAATACGAGTTTGGGCGGTTGAACCCACCAGTTGGGATCATAGCAGGCTTGGAAATGTTAGGTGAAACCACCACTCAAATATCCATAATAAGTGGGATAAAATATGGATAACTACATACTCACTAACCTACCTAGAATCATGGAGCCCAGCACGAGGCCTGGCAGCAATTTTTGGTGACATCCATCTATCTATCCATCCATCCATCCATCCATTCATCCAATCAATATGTATATACATATGTGTATGTATACACAATACAAGGTCTACATGTGTATATATATATATATACATATATATATACAATATTATACAATATTATACAGTCATATATCTTCACATCACGTATCATTGTCTTTGTTGCAGTCTTTCCTGGTGCCCTTCCGGGCGCTCCTGGTGTGGCCGCAGGAGCAGGTGAAGCAATCCGAGATGCCGGCGAATGCCATCATCTTCCTGAGCGCTGTTCTGGTTCTTCCTGGGTGGAAAATGATGAGAAATCCAACCCATGAATGGTGGAAAGTGGTGGAAAAATGATGATAAATACCCATATTTCTTGGAATACCCGAATTTTCGGGCAGAGCCATGTATTTCTTCGTGATATATACAATGTGAAATAGCCATAAAATTAGCCCATATAGCTGTTCATATAGCTGTTTGGTCACCATTTTCAGGTGACTTCTCTTCTTGCGGACTTGAAACATCAACTGAAAATGGTGCCTATATACCAGAAATCCAGCAATGGTGGCAATATTTACGGCAGAAATTCATAGGGAACCAGGGCGCCATGTTTTTCCCTACCAAGCGACCGTGATGAATGTGACGATGGACTTTTTTAATCGATTGAACCACATCTATGTGCAAACTGAAACAACTAATTACATGACTCAAAATCCCATTTCTTTCGGTTACAAACCTATGTTATACTTGGAAATATAATGCATTATACATATCATTATATATCATAAATCATAGGTTTCTAATATGGTATTACCTATAGAAATATCATGCATAAAATCTATATTTCTATATTTCTATATTACGTATATATATATATATATATATATCATCTATATCAATGGTCTGTAGAGAGACCTATAGTATATATAAAATCTATCTGTTGCAGGACCTTCCACACCACCCGAGCCCCTCTATGCCATCGAAGCGCTTCATCACCGGCGAGCCCACGATGCCGGAGCCGCGGGGCGCGGGGATCAAGCGGCAGCGCACCGAGCCGCACTTGCCGTGGACCTGTGGCACTCGGAGGTGGAAAAACGGGGATCGTAACGGGTGAAGCCTGGTTGATCATGGTTAATAGTGGTTAATAGTGCTTAATAGTTAAATCATGATGCATACTGGCTAATAATGGTTTTAATAATCGTGATGTGGATTATTGTTCATAAAGCTTAATTGCAATTAACAATGGTTAATTGTGATTCATAATGATTTCGTGCGATCAATAACGGTGATCAATGATGATTAATTAATGGAAATACCCTTCGGCAATCGAACATGGTTTGGCCATGACAAAATGATGATTTAATGAGACATCAATGGATATATATATATAGTGATATATATATATATATAACTAACTATTACGTATTGAACCAACAAAATAGGGATATAAAACCAGCTACAATGGAGATTTTATGGGATATAATGGGAATATACTGGGAATATAATGGGATATAAAACCAACAAGATGGTATTTGGATGTGTCTGAAAATGGCGTACCACCCGAAAATGCGGGGCTCACCACGGTTGAAGGGGTGATCAACATACCATTTATAATAGGGAATTGTGCCGATCATCACAATTTATCGTTCTTCAACTGGGCCATCGAATAATAGGGGAAATAATGATAAACCACCAAACTTGAGGACAGCCAATCTTCCCAGTGTGAAAAAATACTACATTATATGTGGTGTATATACATATATATTTATATATATATTCATATAATTATGCGTGTATAAGTTGGACTTAAATATCATGTGATGTTGTAATACATATATATATATATGAATTTAAATAATCTGTATTACATACATTATTCTTCATTATGCATATAATATACTATGTTGACTTATGTAATTCCCAAGATGTGTTAAGGACCACGATAACCCGCCGCGCCTTCATGGGTACGGTGTGTGGCAAGCCGATACCTCAGATCCGCAAAGGACGAGCTGTGAATGTCACAACCATGGCTGCTTTGGGAGGTTCAAGAAGGTGTATAATGGATATATTTTTATATATATAATATGTATAGTATATGTATACATATATACATATATATATATACATATTTATATATATACATATTTATATATATATATACATATTTATATATATATATATATTGGATATGCAATGTTCAATCACAACCATGGCTGACATCACAAGAAGATTCGCAATTTGGGGTCACCATCCCAAGCTGGCTCCATGTCCAAATACAAGTACCAATAATTTCATCGTCTTCGCCTTCACTATGGTCCTTATTCTTGTCCAAGAGAATCAAGTGGCAAAAAGAGAAAGCTCGCCGTTCATTGTTCATCCCAACCCTTTTCGAAACAAGTCCTCCTCCCTCCTCGACTAACGCCGCGACGTTTTTTTTTTGAACCGAGGGGCGGTTCCCCCAGAAGCCTCGTCGGACCGGGATGAGGTTCAACTTCGCCGCGATGATGCCACCACGAATGGCAGTGGCCACCTGCCCGACCATCCACGGATGCTGTTTGGTGAGGTTGCTCTCAGCCAAGCAGTGAATTTGCTCAACATAGAAGAACCAGTTAGTAGAATCGCATATTGCTATATATGATGCGATGAAGCGAAAACATTGCCAATCTTAGATACCCTGCCATTTTGGGGGGCTGGTTAGACCATTTGAATCTATTGATAGCAAAAGATCTCAGCAGTAAAGTACCATCCCAGGTGACAGTAGTAAAGTACACATCCAAGGTCGAATTGGTATGCTCCACGTATATCCACACAAGTCACTATGAGCTTGGAATTGCTCCCCTACATTGCTCGGTCTGCACCCGAGATGTCAAAAGCAGGATCTCACCTGCGGCCAAGCGGGTTGTACATCTACGATCACCTAAATTACTAGACCCCTGCCCCTACACGCCAAAAATTGGGTGCCGTTGTCCAATTGGATATGGCCATTGAGTTTCTAGGTGAAAATCTGGGGCCGTTGTCCAACGCCGGGCCCAGCCTCCTTCGCGCACTTGGAGCCAAGGCCAATGTGCCCATTGGTGTCGCCCACCAGCACATAGCACACGAAGCGGTTCGTCTGTCCTGGCCGGATCTTTCGGCTGGAGATCCTGCTGGTCATGGGGGTACCCCCAAATCATCCAAGTAGACTAGGGACTTGAAAGCTACGGTGACTTGGGGATGCCCCATGTTTGGAAACCTCCATAAACTGTAGGTCATTGTCTACTGGGGATTTTTAATCATTGTGATATCTGATGGTGTTTCACAATACCCCAATTCACTAGTTACTAGTTGGATCTACAGTAATCTAATTGGCATAAACTGTAAACCAACGCGACCATCAACCAGTGAGCGTTTTGAACACTTCTCATGCTGTGGCGCACGTCTTCCCATGCTGTACACCAAAAGGACAATCATGGCTGACACCACTGGCCAGAGCATTTCGGACCTGACTCTTTTGGCCATCTTCTGTGCACTCATAGTGGTCTACTAAGGAGAGACCTGAAATCATTCACCAGTTCTGAAACACCGCTTCCATAATGGACAAGAAAGAACATGTCCAGGCCCAGTCTCATCTGAAAATTGTGTGCAGCTTGGGAGAAGGATGCATGGACATTGGAGATTATGAAACATGTCCCTAAAAGGCGGATCAAAATCCTGGCAGAGCAGGTATTCTTCAAACCACCATTTTTGGACGCTTCCCACACATCATGTTTCCACATTATCAGCTGCGATTCCCCTATTCAATTCCAGTCAGTCGCAGGTCATAGGAATTCCAAGACTCCGATGCCCCCAATGGACACAAGTCTGCTCTAAACAGGTCAGTTCAACGTGGTACCCTTCTGTTCATTGGTATAGCTGGATGTTCATCCCAAAAAAACTGGTCCCGTAAATAGCTGGAGTTATCCATATTTCAGATACGAGTACCTTTTTGGTAATCAAACATGGCATGCTGAAAAACTCCCAATTTAGTGTGATGAGTTTCCCATTAAAATGCCCATTACATAAGGGAAATGCCCATCAAAACCTCCATTGATCGATGTTTTTTCATGCTTTTTCCCATAGTTTCCCATATGTTCTCATGAATTCTCCTCATTTCATGGTGATCTTTCCCAGCCATGTCTCACTCATTCCCCTATTTTGTTCCAGCCATGTCTCAGGGATTTCCCAGCCATGCCGCTGGCGCCTGCCGAAGTCATCTTCTGGACAGGGTGGATCTTCAGCACTTCGTCCTGACGCACGCTTGGTGTCGCGCCAGCACTCGAGACTCATGTCATATATAACCAGCGATGGAAAGCTAGCGCTGTCTCAATGGAAATGCATCATATACACCCTATATGTATGTGTATATGATGCAGATACTATGTGTATATTATGTGTATATGTTTGTATATAATACGTATGTAAATTTTATATAACATGAATATAATATTATATGCGTATGCAGGCTTTTCTGTGGGCTCTATAAAAGGCTTCTACTCATTCTAATCCCCTGTCGTCTCATCGGTATGTCACAAAAACTATCGACAATTCCTACGGTTGATATATGTAAACCATCTATAAATGGTGATTTTCCATGGCAAAATATATGGTATGACTATATACCCTTTTTCAAATGGCAAAATCCGTGGTGCCACCTCCCATTTCCATCACGCCTTCAAGGAGCCGGGTGGGTAGAAATGGTCGATGATCTCAGGTTCCTCGCGGCGCAAAACGCGCGGTGGCATTGTAAAAAGCACCTTGGGGGACTTGCGGCAAACATTTCATCTCAATACATATACATATACACATATAGATGTATATATATATATATGTTTATATACATATGTACATGTATAGATACTCAACCATGAAAAAAATGACTTTCCAACCGTCCATATTTTTTTGATTCGGGCCAAAATAAGGAGTTCAACCAACCAACATCGCTATGGCTAATTCAAGGGAACCACAAATGGACCGGTCGTGCCACCTTGAAGTTGTCTCCAGTGCACGGACAACTACATGCTGCACTCATGTGTGCCGATACCTATCAATCTATATCTATACATCACATTATACCTGTTCATAATATAGACAGAAGTTTCAAGCATATATATATGTGAATTATAAAAGACATTTCTTCTTCTTCCATGAGCAATGAAGTCCGAGACTGCGTTCAACATGAAACACATAAATTCACATGCATGTCGGGACATCAACTGAAGCAAGCACAGCCACCAAATCAAATTGCAATGTATGATATACAGATAGATACAATACAAATTTCAATACGAATGCAAATAACATCGATATGCAACAATGATCTATATATGTAAAGTACATGTGTCTGTGATACACGACTATTTCCATAAACGAAAACCGTCCCCAGATAGAGGTCCCACCTTGATGGGAAGCGAGTGCAGGTAGATCTCCTGGACCCAGACATCGCCAGGATTAGCCAGGGCTATTCAGGGTGGAACTTTTTGGGATGTTAATAGCTATGGCTATAACTACTGGATATTAATAATTATAGTTAATTATGATAAACTCTGAGTCTGATTAGATATTAAGTACTATTAACTAAAACTATAACTTGCAACCCAATAGTAACTATAATAACTACCTGGATGAAGTATGGGGGATATATACTCAACCAGAGTTACTGTTGGGTTTGTAAGTTAGACTGGTGGCTTGTAACCCAACAGAAACACAATGGGATAAACACCTTAGTTTAACACTGAATGGACCTATAGTAGCTGTGTATCTGGGTTGGAAACGCCACTGATCCGACGCATTGGTTGGGGGTTCACGCTTCCATTGTTCTTTTTTTCCTCTTTTTTCCCTCGTAGATTCATATGTTCAGAGGTTAAAGATGGCTAAAGTGCTAAAGGATGTTAAAAGGCTTCATGTTCTTCATGTTTCGGGGAATGCGAAAGCTGCAAATTGGGGGTTGAACTTTCCGGTTTGATCCAGATGGGGAGTATAAGGCCCTGATGTTCTATTGAGAGCTTCGTTCTCGGGTTCCATTTTCTAGCACTACTCCAAAATTGTGATTGCAGACAGGGTGTGTAAACTTCTTGTTTCAAGCTCGATCGGTTGGTTGTCAGCGCTTGCAACAGCTGTGTGTTCCCAAAGTGGGTCAAGGTAATCTTGTGAAGGACTTGTCAAAAAAACATGGTTCTCCTAAAATCCAGCCATCAGTGCTGATTTACTGACGCGTTGTCCTTGAATACGTTGAATAGAAGACTCACATCTTCAGGTCCCAAGACTCAGACCTCCAAATTCTGGATCTTTCCATCATTCACCAATCGCCCCAGCTTAGTCATGGGCGCCTCAGTTGCGGCCGGATGTTCAACTCAGGAGGAGCCCCGTTCTTGCTTTCCGAAATGGAAAAAGCTAAGTGAGGTCTGAAAAAATGGAAGCCTCGTTGATGCAACCCTCCATGATCTCCCATCTTTTATCCCGACTCAGTGACTCAGTGTGATGAGACCAAGGAACCCATTGCTTCTCCTCCTGCTTGCCCTTGCCCTTGCCCTTGCCCTTGCCCTTGCCTTTCTTCCCCTTGCCCTTTCCTGCAAATCTCAGAACTGGGCCAGCGCAAATGGAGAGGCCATGCCATGCTATCTGAAACCCAAAAACAGGGGCCCTCCTGGCTACTTAGATGACCAAGTTCCTAGGTGAGTTGCAATCATGGTGGCAAAGTTATGGGCACTTAAAAGCTATACTTGTATGCAGGATAACATCAGGAATTCGGGATATGGCCAAGGATCCTACATGCTTAAGGACGGGTCGAAACTGAGGTTTCTGAGATGCAAAAAATACAGAGAGTCAACACTCCATAGGGTCCATCGAGTCAGGACCAAAAAATATGTATTTAGTGTATTTTGATGTTTTTGTTGGTGGTTGATCCACATTTGACAATCTGATCAATCTGATGTTTGGACAGAGACTAAAAGATTTGGATATTCCCATCAGAAACCTAGTGACCTAGTGGAGGAGATATGCTTATGAAGCCTCAAAATTGGGTTAGCCAAAAATGCGATGATTCACTACCAACATCTACCAACAAAAAAAATGTAAAAAAAATATTGAGGGTTTGAGGGCCTTCAATTTGTGGTCCACTCATCCGGAAAAGATCCTTTGCCGAAGTCGCCGCCACCGCCCATGGCCCCTGGCAGGAAGCTGAGAAGAAGTTTCATCAAGCTGATGGCATCGGAGTTGTAGAAACACAACAGTGTGCAAAAATCCAACAATGGTTTTGTGATTGTACCATCAAACATTATCAAACATGGGGGTGGCAGCCTAGCCAATGAAAACAGGCATAATACCAGCTCAAGGCCATGAACCACGAAGAATCTTCGGCTCAACAAAGCGACAGCTGCGTCTACGCCCCATCCATCCCTACCTTTCGCTATTCGCTGCGGCACTGCAGGTGTTCGAACCCTAAAGAAAAGCCAGCGGCCAATGTCACAGCTGAGTTTGGCTTGGTGCCGTACAGGTGGCAAATCCACCACTTGATGGTCTTCCGTCACAAGAAAAACATCCAAGGGGCCTGGGGTCAACTTCTCCCCAACGACAAAGACTTGCAAGGTCATGTAAGTGTGGTCTAGTTGGTAGCTCCGTCCCTTAAATTCATATCTTTGTCGATCATCTTTTGAAGGAAATCATGGTTCTCAAACTTGGCAATGAAAAAGCCACAAATTATGGATGAGTTGTCTATACTATACAGTATTCGTTACATTAGTTCACAGACTTCACAGAGATTTCTGTTGCTTGATTGGATTCCTGCTTGGGTTACTGATTAGATTCCAGGTTAGATTACTGGAGTTCACTGGGTGATTTTTTACATCAGTTTTAGTTGCTACTCCATGGTCGTCGCCTCAAGCACCCGAGTTTTGCTTGGAAAGCTGCATTTAAGATTGTTCTTCAATATGACTGTGTCCAACACACGACACATAGCTGCTGGGAGAACCGGCACTGAAGCTTCGAAGACTCGATGGCAAGGTCACTCGCTTCAGGCTTTGGTTGAACATATTGCCAAAGCTCAAGCTATGAAGACTCGATGGCAAAATCACCCGCTCCAGGCTTTGGTTGAAATAGAAGCCAAAACTCAAGCTTTGAAGACTCGATGGCAAGGTCACCCGCTCCAGGCTTTGGTTGAATAGATCGCCAAAACTCAAGCTTTGAAGACTCGATGGCAAGGTCACCCGCTCCAGGCTTTGGTTGAACCCATCGCCAAAACTCAAGCTTTGAAGACTCGATGGCAAGGTCACCTGCTCCAGGCTTTGGTTGAATAGATCGCCAAAACTCAAGCTTTGAAGCCTCGATGGCAAGGTCACCCGCTCCAGGCTTTGGTTGAAACCACAGCCAAAACTCAAGCTTTGAAGATTCGATGGCAAGGTCACTCGCTCGAGGCTTTGGTTGAACCAAACGCCAAAACTCAAGCTTTGAAGACTCGATGGCAAGGTTACCCGCTCCAGGCTTTGATTGAACGCAAAGCCAAAACTCAGGCTTTGAAGACTCGATGGCAAGCTCACCTGCTCCAGGCTTTGGTTGAAGGTCCAGCCAAAACTCAAGCTTTGAAGACTCAATGGCAAGGTCACCCTCTCCAGGCTTTGGTTGAACATATTGCCCAAACTCAAGTTTTGAAGACTCGATGGCAAGGTCACTCGCTCGAGGCTTTGGTTGAACATATTGCCAAGACTCAAGTTTTGAAGACTCAGTGGCAAGGTCACCCGCTCCAGGCTTTGGTTGAAACGATTGACAAGGCTCAAGCTTTGAAGACTCGATGGCAGGGTCACCCTCTCCAGGCCTTGGTTGAACTCAAAGCCAAAACTCAAGCTTTGAAGACTCGATGAAAAGGTCACCCACTCCAGCCTTCGGTTGAACTCAGGGCCAAAGCTTAAGCTTTGAAGACTCAATGGCAATTTCACCCGCTGCAGGCTTTGGTTAAACTCAGAGCCAAAACTCAAGCTTTGAAGCCTCGATGGCAAGGTCACCCACTCCAGGCTTTGGTTGAAATCCTCGCCAAAACTCAAGCCTTGAAGACTCAGCGGCAAGGTCACCTGCTCCAGGCTTTGGTTGAACTCAAACCCAAAACTCAGGCTTGGAAGACTCGATGGCAAGGTCACCCGCTCCAAGCTTTGGTTGAAACGATAGCCAAAACTCAAGTTTTGAAGACTCGATGGCAAGGTCACTCGTTCCAGGCTTCGGTTGAACCTGTAGCCAAAAGTCATGCTTTGAAGACTCAATGGAAAGGTCACCCGCTCCAGGCTTTGGTTGAAGTTACCATCCAGACTCAATTTTGCAAGGCTGCCGGGTAGATGATGTAAATACTCTCCAGGCACTGCTCGGTCAAGTTGTGTAACACCTCCTAGCACCAAATCTCTCTCACAAGTCGTGAGCCCATGGACATAACACCATGCAGTGTACACATTTGTTGGTATGTAAGTGCAGGACAGCATTGCCGATTTTCCAACAATCCCTTGCTCTCCCAAGGTTTGATTCAGCGTCAGCTTTGCATTCATGTGATGCACCACTAGCCTAGCGCCTGGCTTGCGTGGAAGCTTCTCCGACACCAACCTCCACAGGTCATACCCAAGCATAGAGCGAGGAGCATTTAAGGTCACTCCTTCTCCAGTCAAGCATAGAGCATCAAGATTGACCTCGTCAGTTTCATCTGCTGCACTTTTGTCAGTAGATGATGGATCCACGTAGTCATGTTGCCCACCCAACATTGGTAGACATTTACACACTTCTCACTACTGGGCACAGCCGAAAGATCTTCACAAAAACAAAAACACGACAATACAATCCTTCAATCTACCTCTAAATCAAAAAAGGAACCCAAAGATTGCCTTTCAAAGTGCCCGAAATCCTATTCCAACACCATTTAAATATGATTTAAATTTAGCGGAGCTTGATTTTCTTCGTTTTCAGGGCAGCCTGATTGGGGCTGCCCTAAATCTGGACGTACCAAGGGGTCCCCTAAACCCCAACGGTTTAGAAAGTCCCACGTTCCTTCTATGATAGCACTAAAATGGGTTGTGTATGTATGTATATATATATTATTATATATACCTCTGAAAAACCATAAGGACAAAATTGTCTCCAGTCGGCCACGTTAGATTACAGTACCTCTTTTCTCGCTACTTCGGCACACTAGGGGTGAAACCTTTGGCGGCGGACAGTGACTGGAGCTGTCTTTTTCAGAATGAGCACCGTTTTGCAGCTTTTGGATTCAATTTTGGGGCGTGGCAGCATAACTATATATATATAATTGGTATGATTAACCGCTATTGACATGATTAATCAACAGATTTCAACAGATTTCTCTACACATAGCACTTTACCGTCTCCATGACTGTCGGGGGTTTCAGACCCCCGCCCACGATGCGACCACTCTACCGTTGTAGAGAGAACAGAGCGGCTTAGCTGTCCTAGCTTCGTGGGGTCACATGAACTGCTCAAATCTTCATTGGTGAAAGGCTATGCTGCTGAGTCTCCCAAACAAACGACTTCCTGTGAAAATAGACTATCCTTTTTCGTCTCTATTGAATTATTGGATAGGCATGAATCCTCAAATGACTATGATTCATTGGGGGAAGGCTTCAAATGCCGAGATGGGGATTATCCACATTCCAGAGTTGTTTGTATCCCAAGAGTTGTGGCTACTTTAGCACAATGATGATCAACTCGTATGGACATATGGAGGTTCCTTTCCTCGCTGGTCGCTGAAGCAACAAATACCTATTTGATATCTATGGAATTCTGTGGATATATCCCATCTGATTCTAGCGTCCTCCTAGCGTCCTCATGTTTGGGGCATTGCTTCGTGAAATTCGCAGATTGCATCAGCTATTACTTTGGTTGTATGTGTGGTTGTATCTCTATTTTTCAAGTCTTTTCCATTCCTTCAGGCGATTGGTTGTGGATCAAAATCCGTGTCTGGTAAATGGTGAACTTCAAAAAGGCTGGTAAATGGATGTTCATCCCTCAAATCATATGGAAAATCATAGGTTTGGGCACATCCTCACTTGGTTTACCCAGCAAAAACATAGTTCTTCATGCTGAATTTCCCATATTTGGGTATGTTTTCTGCCCAAGCCTATGTCTTGGTGATGTTGTTCTTACCATCTGGCAATCAAACGTGGCTAGCAGGGAAATAGCACAAAGATGATGGCTTTAATGGGGAAATCAGCATAAATCATCTATAAATGGTCAATGTCCCAACTTGTTGCCTCGCATCGGCCGCTCCACTTCTGCCTCTCATCGTTCAGCTTATTGCATCCCCTGAGGCTGGCCCAAGCGTTCCCCACTGGGGTTTCTTGTTGGGTATCTCATGGAGAAAAACCCTAGTCATCGGATGACTTTGGTTAGCCCCCAAGTTAACTAAGTTAATGGGATGACTAAGTGGTTAGCTATTAAGCACTATTAAGCCACGTTAATGGGTATGTTAACCCTAGTCAATAGTTAATGGGACAAGAATAAATTATCATAACCTGTAGATAGAATATAACCCATGTCATAACATGATTATCATAACCAATTAACTGATGACAAGTGGTTGGATGCTTTAAGGGTCTACCGGGTCTACCGCACCGACGGCCTCCGGTTGAGGCATGCCCACCATGGAGCTGTCTGGAGCCTTGGCACAACCATGGCTATGGTCATCCCATGGGAATCCGCCATGGCTTCGCACAATGCCCCAGTCATCACCATGTTCATAGCTGGTATATATATATATATATTAATTAATTAATTAATTATATTATATACATATTATATTATATTGTGTATATATATATATTATATATATATATGTACATGTACATATATTATATATAGTGGATGTGTAACACGGCTCGCGAAATCAAAGCAGCCACTCAGCCACTCTGGCAGAGTGGCTGCTCCAGCCACTCTGGCAGAGCGGCTGAGTGGCTGTGTGGCTGCACCAAGCCACTCTGGCAGAATGTCTCAGTGGGTGAATAGCTAGTGCAGCTTAGCCAATGGAGTGTAAGCAGTATTACTCAGACCTGATTTTTCTTAGGTCTGGGTAGTTTCAAGTGAGGTTTTATGCTAATTTAGGGTTTTTTCCTTTATCTTGTAGGCACTGGGGCATAATTCTTATGGATTGAATGGAATTTTATGCAAACATCTGTGTTAAAGGGTTTTGAGAAAGAAATCATTAGCCATTTGTGTTAAAGGGGTTCGCTCTGTGGGTCTCTGCGGATGTCTCTGCAGATCATCGTGGTGAAAGGAATGAGACATTTGGTTATAGTTCCAATGTTTTCATATATGTATGTTATTAAAGATTGTATGTATATATATATATACATAGCTAGACATGTTCATAGCTGGTATATATATATATGTATATTAATTATATATATATATATATATGTACATGTATATTATATATATATATGTATGTACATGTATATATCTTATATATATATATATATATTATATATATTATATATATAATTATATATATTGTATAAATATATATTTACCATTCCCAGTCATGGGTGGTTTATCGCATTGTTTTACCCACATTTGAATGGATTTTTCTAAATCCCTATGGATTGATGACTGGTTGCACAGCCTTTTTCCATAGGAAAACCCACCTCCGGTGGCCTCCATTTATGGGTGTCC